TTCATATAATGAATAAGTAATATGTGTAACTTTCAAATAATTTTGAATTCAACTTAATCAATTTATTTGTTTATAACTGAAAAATAAAAAAAAAAAAAATATCAACTACATATGAAGTTTATGATATTTATTATTTTTTATAGATATTATTATATTCAAACGTATCTTACGATACGATACACGATACGATACGCGTATCATAAATCTATGTTTCCGATACACGATACGTATCCCGCTTTGATAACTATGATAGCCCCCGTTTTATCCTCTCTAATGAGGAAAAGGAATGGATGATCGGCAATAAGTCTATGGTATGCCAGGATAGAGGAGATGATGATATTTGCTTACGCATAAGAACCGCGGTCGCAGCAGCAGCTTTTGTACCTTGTTCGTTAACCTCGACCAAGGCTTTGTGCAACACTGATTGAACAACAAGTTCAGTGTTTACCATGTCACTGATTCCGCCTTCGCCTTCATCATTGAAAGGCAAGACAAGGCCCAAATCTTGTAGAAGTTCGGAAGCTTCGAACCCAAATGAGATCTTGAACTTTGGGATGCGGAAATTATTTACTCTAACTCTTTTCTCCGGGAAATGACGCTCTAAGAATCTAGGTTTATAACTAAATTTTTCCACCAAAGCTTGCAGCCCGTTCATGGTATCCGGGAGATACAAGTACATGGAGAAAAGCTGATCCTCTTCCTCGCCTTGTTTGTATTCAAGACGCAACACTTTGAAATCAGGATAGGCTCTTATATATTGATCTTCCAAACTAGTCATAAAAGGGACTTTAATTTTGGTGCCATTTGACAGGTAAAAGTCACGCTTCTTCGTCTTTGATTTGATAAACCTCTGTTTCCAGACTCCTCTAAAATACAAAGCATTTGCAAGAATTTACCTCGTCGATTTGTCCACGGTTTCAGGCGGGATGAGGTCTTTGATGAGCCCATTTGTTTCACTGTCAACCCATTGATTCACCTCAATAGCTGCCTCATCAGGCTTGCTTTTGAAGTCAACTTGACAGGTTTGAGCTTTATAGACATTGACCGCCATGTGTTTGAAATCGGGCTTAAATGAGAGATATTTGATCAATCCAGATGTCACGAATATGGCTAGAAATTCTCAGTTTTAAAATTAAGCTGAATTTAGGCTCTGTTTGGTTAGATTGAATTGTAATTAAATTAGAATTACAATACTATTGAAATGAAAATGAGATATTAATATTGCAATTCAATCATAATTCTTTCGTTTGGAAGATCTCAAGAATTGATTACAATTAAGGTTCTAATACCAATTCTTGTGTTTGGATCCTTATAAATTTATAAAATCTGGAATTAGAATTAGTTTTTTATTATCTAACTATAATTTAGTACTTTATTTCATTGAATAAAAGAAATACTTAATTTTATAAATCAAAGCAATTTACTTACATATATAAGATAAAAAAAAATAAATTTATTATGTACATTTATATTAGAACTTTTATATCAATTTTATAATTTATAGATACATACATACTTGTGGAAAATTTTTATTATTATTATTATACATACATACATACTTGTAGAACATCCTTGTTCCTCTACTTTTTATTATTTTATAAATTTTTAATCTTTAGTTTTTCTTTTGGGTTTTAGTGAAAAATTTTTATATAGTTGAAAGTAAAGACCATTTATTTATGTATAGATTAACATTAATACATAGTGCTAATTAATTATTTTTATTTTTAGTATATAATTACATATGGAATAATATATAATTCGACTTCTTGAAAAACTTACATGATTTTTTGTAAAAAAAATTCAAGTTTCAAAAATTATATATACATTTGATAAAAAAAAAATTGTTAACCCATAATTAATACCTTTCATATTTTAAATAAATTACTGGTATGGTTATACATTTGATAGTTTTTTTCAAAAAAATATGAATATAATACTAATTTTAATATAGAGATCTCATTAATAATTATCAATATGATGTACACCTCTTTTGCACAATAAATAAAAACATATGTTAATTTAACAAAAAGTAAAATAAATAAAAATAAAAAATCCAGTGCTAAAAGAAAAGGGGAAAAAACGAAAAAGAAAAAGAAAGCGCATCTGCAGCGCGAAAAAAAAAACTTCAAATCTTAAAACTTAAAAGGACCCGTTTCGTTATAACCCGGAAAACGACCCGCATGTGACCCGCGTTTTTCCTTAAGTCCATAGAGTTTGAATTGCAATTATTTGCTCCCACAAAAGAATTGAAAATAAAGAATTGAGGCTCATCTTGAATTATAATTCTAATTCCGGAACTCCGATTTTTGTCAGCCAAATACAAGAATTGGAATTGAGGGCCTCCAATTTCAATTCTTGGGTCCAATTCAATCCAACCAAACAGAGCCTTAGGGATTTTGGTAAATTGGGAATTTAGATGTTTAAACCATGTCGTTTAGATGACGGGTTGTGAGATCATAGTTTTAGTAACTTATTTAGCATTCGGATGGTTCTAGAATTTATCAAGTTTTGTCAGGTAGTGCTAGTTACACCGTAGCTCTTGGAATTACTGTTTAATCCACCTCATTAGATAAGAGGGGAGCGTTGCTGTGTAGTACGATCATCGGAAAAAATATCAATCTTGCCTTCTTCTCTATTTTCTGTTCTCTCTCAAAATTAAATTCTTCTGCTCCCAATTCTGCCCTGCTACTTATGACCCTCTGAAATCTGTTTCTTTATTTTGCTAAATCCTCCAATACGTTACACCAGACTCCGTTCACAAACGATAAGCGAGGCCCACCAAAGGGACTGCCATTCGCTAATACGGAAATGATGAGTGCTGAGGACAATGAATTCAGTTCCTCAACTTAATCGGAGTAGAGGAAAGACAGGAATTGGTCTCGGGTAGGGCTTTTAGGCCCAGTTGCGACAAAGCTCAAAACAACGTTAAGGGACATCGGCGAGAACACAGAATTAGCGACGCCCTCCATCTCCTTTAAGATAATCGGTTTCGCCAACATACTGCGGCGGCGTTCAGGTTCCCGACCAATTCTTTGATTTCCTTTGGTTGTGTGAGAAGCGAGAAGTCATCCACTTCACCTGCTTTCCTCTTTTTACTATCCAAACTCCTCGGAGGTGAACTCATCATCCTTTTGTTGTTCTGTTGTAGTTCATGAGGCGGAAGCGCGGCGGAGGAGGGATGAGCGCGTCCAGTTCAGGGCTGATTACTCATGATTAATATTTTTACTCAAAAAACTCATTCGTGGGTCGTCATAGCTTTCGAAAAGTTCATCCTCATCAATTGTTGTATAATTCGTGGGATTTGATTTTCTGATATAAACAAAAGAACATGAGAACTACGAAATAGGAAATAAAGAGCAACCTTATTGAGAAATAAAAGAGAGAGAATTTCACAAACTGAAAAGTAGTGTTGGTACATTATTGAGATTTTTGAAAGTAAGTTTAGATTTGTAAGATATCGATGACAATGACACTCAAAATGAAGCAACCTTCTCGGATACTTGGATACAACAACGACTATAGGGAAAAGGGTAATCTGAGTCGTAAATTGCTCTGCTGCGTGCTTTCCCAACTTAGTAATGTATCTGCGTTCTTTAGTTTTGAACAATTTATCCCCGCACCACCAAAAAGTTGATTCAGGCTTGTAGTAGAGCTATCCTCAAGCTTTATTTTTTTATTGAAAAACTTGCCACAAGAGTTTGGCGTAAAATCAATCAGAAAGTTACAGTAAAAATTTTTTTTAAAAATGATTTATAAGTTACTAATCTCTATTAAACAATAAAATTTTTCGGATGTGACTTAAATTCTCTCTGACATCTCTCTACTTCTTTTCCTATGGCCGGCGAAACACAATCAATTCAACCTCCTCAGCGACCCTCCTTTGCAAAAATTCTAAGATCTAATTCCAATCCAAAAACCATTCACAACTATTCATCGAAAAATCAAAACCTAAGCTCTCCCGTAATTCATTCGGAGCCAACATTATTCAAAGGTAAGCCAACCTCTCTTCTAAAAGAGGAAGATCAATTGGCAGCCTCTTTCAACTCGCCCTTGTAGGAAAATTTACTAAAGGCCGGCCAAAAATGAACTATTTGCGGAGAGAATTCCAAACGATAGGATTCAAAGGAAACTTCTTGACGATACCTGGAATTATACCGCCGGTGTAGGGTGAAACTCCGACTAGTTTCCTGCAAAACAGAGCCTCGGGCGTCTCCCGAGGGTAGACACTCCGAAGCTTAAGTTAGAAAATAGGGTTATGTCTGTGTTGATATTATAGTCAAGATTGCGTACCTTTAGTGTGGAATAAAGGTCCTTATTTATAGACTTGGGAGGAATCCGATTCCTACTAGGGTTAACAATAACAAACCGCCATATCGGGGCGGTCTTGACCCTAAGGCCAAGTAGTGGGCCGGCCCGTTGACGGTGATGGACCTGAACTCGTCAAGTGCCCCTGTCAAGTGTTAATTATGCAAAATAAATAAGACTTGACACTTAAATAAAACTGACCTGGCCCGGCCCATATGAAACAAATAAGCTTCAGCCCAGCCCAAATGTAGCTGTCCGTGAGTGAGGATCCGATCCGAGAAGGTGACCCGTTTTATTTGAATCCCACCCGAACGGAAATTAAGCCCCACTAACACGCACGTTTCCCAAATGACGGCTGGGCAATTATGAGTGCCTTGGATTTCGGCCACGGTGTCGGGTCGTGGGAAAAAGGGCGCCTCCTATTTGTTTAACTGGGGGAAAGGCTAAGGACTTTGGCCATATATTCCTCTCGCCAAACCCAGAAAACTCTATACTCTCTATTCCGGTGCATCAGATTTCTTTGTCACCAAATACCGCCGTTAAACAGAGTTTGAAAATCCCTCCGACAGACTTCAACCAGGGAGTGCTATCTCATACGTAAGTCTTCTAACTTCTGGACATTCTCATTGTTGTTCATTTGTGTATATATTTTGCTTTATCTAAACCTGGTTAGACTTGCATATACTAGGATAGGTATGGCGTCACAAACAGTTTCCGATTTTGCGTCGACCATAGACTCTGTTGAAAAGGCCGATTCTATTGCTGAAAAATATAACTTCCCCATAGATCTAGATTATCGAGCTCCCATAGGCACTGAGAGGGCTAACAATCCACCAGAGGGGAAAATCACTGTGTACGAGAGGTGGATGTTTCTCGGACTACGGTTCCCCCTTCACCCTCTATTTGGTAGGCTAGTGCAGTATTATAAGATCCCGCTTGCTCGATTTACTCCAAACCTAGTCACTGCCGTCCTTGGTTTTGTGAGGCTTTGTGAAATAAAGAGGATAGCGCCTCGATTGTTGGTATGGAGATACTTTTTTAAGGTCTGTGTGCCCTCGACCAAATATAAGGATTGGTATAACGTGAAGACAAACGTTTCCTCAAAGGCAAAACGTATAATAGAACTCTTCTACGGTGCCCCATCGTGGAAGCCGAATTATTTGTTTGTTTCGGCTCCCGACGATGTTTGTATGGCCTGGGACTATCGGGAAGCTCATGAGATGGGCGGTGTGGCAGACGCCTGGTCCAAACACGATAAGGCTAGAATTGAGAGGTACAGGGTGGACATTGATTCCTTGGAATCTGTCGAGAACATCCTGGGCTACACGGAAGTGCAACATTACGTCCCGCCAGTTCACGTCGAGAAGAGAAAAGGTACTGACTTGTTATGTGCTTTGTTTTTGTTTTTAGGTCATGTCATCAAGCAAAGATACCGTTGGGTTGTTTGGTGACGCCAAGATTTTTGAAATTAAAAATTCAGATGATGAGGGATCGTCCAACAAGGTTACCAAGAAGAGGAAGCTGAGAAGGCTGGTGAAGGCGTCCGATGTAGGTGCCAAGGCTAAGAAGAAGAAGACTCCCACCTCGAGGGGGTAGAGAAGCAGGTCGAGGAGCCGGTCCCGATCGAGGTGGAAAGGGGAGATGATCCTTCGAAGGCTACCTCTCCCATTATTGAAGAGGTGGAGGCTCCAATGCCCGAGGGCCCGGTACCCGAGGCAGGTCCAGCGACGGAGCGGCATCCGGAGTGGTTCAAGCCGATTGAAGCCTCTCTCGAGAAGAAAAACGTCGAGGACACCGACGGTTCGTCATCATACATTGCTGCCGCTGCCATATATCATTTTGGAGACAATAGGATCGAGTGCCCCATCATCGAGGAGGTCGCGGCGACTTTGACGGAGGAAGAATCGCTGAAAATGGTAATATTTACCTCTCGAGTTATGTCTTCTCGGAGATCTCACACTGCTCTTGTTAACGTTTCGTGTTTGTTGCAGCTAACTACAGCTATCGCTAGCATTCTCATGCGTGAGAAGACATTGAAACGGGACATTGTCAGTCTTCAGCTGAGAGAGGGTTCCTGGAACAAGAGAGGCAGTCGAGTGAAGCCTCGAGAAAGGAGGAGGAGGCTCTGAGACTGGCTAGGGAGCAGGAGCTGGCCGGTGTTCAGGCCATGTACAAGGAGCTTGAGGCCAAGCTGTCTGAGTGCAGGGAGATTCATGTTCCCCGATCCGAGTTATCGGCCTGGATAACGCATTTTTGGTCAAGGATGATGTCCACGGATGGGCTGGCAAGTATTCTGGTAGGCATTAGTAATGAGGCTAAGGTTCTGGGGGGACATGGCGTGGCTGTTGCTGCCCTTAAAAGGATGGAAAGTGGGAAGACTATTAATGCTGGATGGTTGCAGCAATTTATAAGGCCACATCCCAAGAAGACACTCCACGAAGCCCTCAAGAAAGGAGTGCAGCGACTTTCCGACGGCCAACTTCCTCTATTTGGGCCGTTGTGTGGCGCCGTTCCTGAGATGAAATCCTCAACGGAGATTTCATCCTTCGAGGGGGAGGTCCTCACGGTGCTTCCCGATGACGCTGGAGAAGAGGTGCGCATGCCAGAGTTGGCTCCCGACTTCATCGGCGTCGAGGTGGAGTGGGAGGAGGACTCTTCGGAGGGACCAGTCGAGGACGATGGACAAAGCAATCCCAAACCAGAGGGAACGTTAGTCCCTCCTTCTGCTGAGGAAACCAACGAAAACCAGCCAACACAGCCGCAGGGCCAGAAGGAAGTATGAGTCTCTCCTTTGTAATAGGGTTTTTGTGGCTAAGGTTGTAGACCTTAGAAAATTTGTATGAATCTTTGAACCCTTTTGCCGATCAAGCTGGCTCACTTTTAATATTTGTGTCGCCTATTCCAGGATTTGTACTTTGTTCATCATTTACATCTACTGATTCTCGAGGAAGAGGAGGTTACTCAATTTCCCTTGTACGCGATGATCTCCTCGATTATGAGGAAATCCGGGGACGTCCACAATACTAGCAAGGTGAAGTCTCTCGAGAAAGAACTTTCAGATGCTTTTAAAGCACTGAATCTACGGACACATCACCGGTTGGTACAGCGCTTCAAGCAGCAAGAGGAAGAGTGGAAGCGCCGACTTCACTAGTATGACTTGGACATCCATGCTTCTTTATCCCTCGAAGCGAACATTTACGAGGAGATGGAAAAACTGAAGTCGGAAAACTCTCAATTGAGGAGGCGCGAGAAGATTGTTATTTCTCCATGGTTTCCTGAAAAACTCGACACACTTGCTTTGGTCGAGTCGCAGATAAAGATCCGGACTGAATGTTTTATCGCCGCCATTGACCTCCTGAAGAAAAGAACCAAGGAGGTGGAGTTCTATTCGAAGCAAGCTGCCATTCTGCAGAATATACTGGCGGACAACGAGATTTTCTTGCCCATCCTTGACGACCTTGATCTGGAGGGCAAAGCTCGGGAGCGAGCTGCTGCCGAGGAATATCTTCTTAGAATCGATGACCAAGACTGGGAGATTCTAGATTTAAAGGATAAGCTTGGGCACTGTGTCCATAAGCTTAGGTCGATGGGGTGGTCCGGCCTTATTAAGCCTTCTCGTTTTAACCCGAAGGGGAAAGACCTCCGGATTTAGGCAGATGCATTGTATACCTCCGTTTTTTTTTAAAAAAAAACCTACAATTGGTGCGAGGGAATTGTACTTGGGCTAAGCTGTGTTAGCGCCAGTTATTTATACTCGAGAATGTTTATATAGCGCTTTGTTTGGCTGGCTGTTAATTACGCGGCCTTATCGAGGAATCGGATATGGATTCCTCGGCGTACTCATGCCGCGATCTACGGCGGGTGCGAGGGGAAGTCCTCGGCTTAGGGGTCCGGATGTTGAATACACGGCCCACATCGAGGATGGCCCTATAGAGGGTGTCCATCTCGGTGACTAGTCATAAGATAGTGTCGACACGTGCAAATATATATATGACAAGTAACGAATTTATAGAAAGAAGTATGTAATGACTCTTATTGATAATTACCCGAGGACCCAGGTTAGCATTACACACATATGACTGAAAGCAATTAAACCACTTAGCAAACAAAGTCACAAGTAGTATGAAAGGAATCTAGACATAGAACCTGCGGAGATTCTGAATGTTCCACCATCGTGGGAGGACAGTTCCCGTGTCGTCAGTCATCTGCAATCGTAGCTGCCCAAAGGAGAGGCTTGAATGACTCGATAGGGTCCTTCCCAATTGGCTGTTAGTTTTCTTGGGGCCTCCGCTCGACTGGCGTCGTTCTTCCTGAGCACCAAGTCCCCAACCACGAAGTTGGTGCTCTTAACTCGCTTGTTGAAATTTCTTCTGAGGACCTCCTTGTACTTAGCTTCTCGGACTTTTACGGCATTCCGCCATTCCTCGAGCAGGTCGAGGTTAGTCCGGATATCCTCGTTGTTGGTGTCCTCGACAAAGTTAATTGTTCGAGGACTCGGTAGACCAATTTCAACCGGGAGAACGGCATCCATTCCGTAGACTAAGCTGTAAGGCGTTTCATCCGTCGAGGAGTGAGCTGTGGTGCGGTAAGCCCATAAAACGTGAGAGAGTTCTTCGACCCAAGCTCCTTTTGTATTATGCAGTCTTGTCTTTATTCCGTGTAAGATGGCCCTGTTAATCGATTCGGCTTGTCCATTTGCCTGTGGATGGGCGACGACGGAGAATCGACCCTCGATCTGCATTTCCGCGCACCATGATTTGAAAGGATCACTCTCGAATTGGGTTCCGTTGTCCGACACAATCACCTTGGGAACCCCAAATCGGCAAACCACGTTCTGCCAGAAAAAATTCAACACTTTTCTTCCTGATATCGAGGCCAATGGTTTCGCTTCTACCCACTTGGTGAAGTAATCTACGGCTACTATAACCCATCGCAGTCCTTCCGCTCCTTTCGGAAAGGAGCCGATGATGTCAGTCCCCCATTGGTAAAATGGCCAAGGACTTTGTATGGTTACCATCTCGTGCTGTGGCTGTCGGGTTATTGGTTAAAACTTTTGGCATCTGTTGCACTTTTGGACGAAGTGGTAAGCGTCTTCAAAGACTGTGGGCCAGAAGTATCTGGCTCGAAGGATCATTTTTGCCAAGCTCCTTGCCCCATGTGGGCTCCGCACGACCCCTCGTGGACTTCCTCGAAGATGTATGCTGCTTGATTTGCTCCGACGCACCGTAACATTGGTAACAAATACCCCTGTATGTAGAGAATCCTATCCTTCAGAGTGTACTTAACTGCCTTTAATTTCAACGCCCGAGCTTCCTGTTTGTCATCAGGGAGTGTTTCATTCTCGAGGAAGCGGATGAACGGGGTCATCCACGTTTCCCCGTCTTCGGTGATAGCCATGGAAACTTTAGGGTGAATGCTGGGCTCAGGGAGCATCTCAACCCAAACCTTATGACTGAGATTAGCGAAATTGGATGAAGCGAGCTAACTTAATGCATCGGCCCTCTTGTTGTTGGTCTTGAGAATGTGTGAGATGGAGCATTCTTCGAATTTGTCTTTGATTTCCAAGACCTTCTCGAGGTATAGTCGAAGGTGTTCCTCTCGGACTGTGTATTCGCCTTTGATTTGTTTGACCACTACCTGAGAGTCACTAAATACTTGCAAATTTTGAACCCCTAATTTGAGGGCCATGTTTAACCCTGTGATCATTGCCTCGTATTCAGCAACATTATTGGTGACCAGGAAACCGAACCTTAGAGCGTAGGAATATTCTGCATCGTATTCTTTGAGTTCCTCGATCTCTCGAGATGCCACCGGTTTTGCTAGGATGATACCTGCTCCTCCCCCGTCTTCGCAGGAAGAGCCCTCGACGTATAGGGTCCAGGCTCGAGGATCTGTGGGGGGATGTTCACGCAGTTGCTTTCTCGGTATCGATTCCTGCGTGGTTCCCGGAGCTCTGGGCATTTCTACAGCTGTACGGGGTTTGTACTCGATATGATGTTCCCCCAACTCGACCGCCCATTTCATCATTCGGCCTGAAGCTTCAGGTTTGAGGACTTGTTGGATGGGTTGCTCGGTTAAGACTTGTATAGGATGAGCCTGAAAGTACGGACCCAACCGTCGGGCAGTGAGCACGAGGCTTAGGATAAGTTTCTCCATGGGGGTATATCGAGATTCTGCCCCTTGTAAGACTTTGCTGACGAAGTAGACTGGGAGCTCCTTATTGTCTTTTTTCTGAATTAATACTGCGGATATGGCCGTTTCTCGAGCAGCTAAATAGATATATAGAACTTCCCCTGGTTGCGGCTTTGCTAGCATAGGGAGTTGTTTGAGGTGTTCTTTTAACTCTTGGAAGGCTTTTTGACATTCATCGGTCCATTGGAAACCCCTCCCTTTTCTTAGGGTTTTGAAAAAGGGGAGGCTTCTCTCCACTGCTCGAGACAGAAACCTGTTAAGTGTTGCTATGGATCCTGTGAGTTTCTGTACGTCCTTGACAGTTTTCGGGGCTTCCATCGAAAGAATTGCTTCGACTTTTGAAGGATCTATGCTTATCCCATCCTTTGATACTTGGAAATCCGAGGAACTTCCCAGAACCTACACAGAAAACGCACTTTTTTGGATTGAGTTTCATGTTGATTTTGCGCAGGATCGTAAAGATCTCCTGCATGTCCTCGACCACTTTGCAATCTGAGTTGCTCTTGATAACCATGTCATCCACGTATATCTCGATGTTCCTCCCTATTTGATTATGGAAGGCCCTATTAACCAAACACTGGTAGGTGGCTCCAGTATTTTTCAGCCCAAACGGCATTTTGTCGTAACAGTATACTCCAATCTCCGTGATATAGGCCGTCTTCTCCGCATCCTCCTCGGCCATATGAATCTGATGGTATCCTTTATACGCGTCGAGGAAGCTGAGAGTCCTGTAGCCAGTAATACCTTCCACCATTTGGTCAATTACGGGCAAGGGGTAACAGTCTTTTGGGCAGTATTTGTTTAGACCAGTGTAATCTTGGCACATACGCCAGGAATTGTCAGGTTTGCGGACAAGGACCGGGTTGGCCAGCCAGGTTGGCCAAAGCACCTCTTTCAGGATGTTGGCTCGAACTAGCTTGAGGGTTTCCTCGTTAATCACGTTATTGCGATCTCGAGTGAAAATCCTCTTCTTTTGTTTGACCGGTCTGACGTTTGGATCAACATTTAGCTTGTGCTCGATAATGTGTCAAGGAACTCCGGTCATATCGGATGGCGACCACGTGAAGATGTCCCGAAAGGTACGCAACAAGGCAATTATTTCAGTCCGCAACGCTCCCCCAATAGATATCCCTAGTTTGATAGTTTTTTCTGGCTCTTTCTCGTCTAAGATCAACTCTTCCGTCTTACTGCTGAGTTGCGCGTTTTGCTCAATATCCGCGCTCGAGACCTCTTGCTTCCTCTCTTTATCTTCGATTCTTGTCACACCTTGCTGAATTGAGTAGCATCCTGATGTGGTGACGGCCAGCTCCTGCTTTACTGCTTTCTTCCCTATCTTTACTGCCGTGAGAAGACATTCTCTAGAGCTGCATTGGCAGCCTTAGACTATTCCTATCCCGTATTCCGTTGGGAACTTCATAACTAAATGATAAGGTGACCATACAGCGCGGGCTTGACACATCCACGGCCGTCCTAGGATCACATTGAATGGCGAGGGAGCATCGATTATGGCGAAATCCATAGTTAGATTTACCGTTCGAGGATATGTCCCTACCGTGATTGGAAGCCTGACGATCCCGCTTGGGATTATCGTGTGCCCGGAAAAGCCCATCAATGGTAAGGTAGCAGGGCGCCAGTCTGGATTTTGTATATTCATTCTCTTGAAACAATCACTGTAGATGATGTCGACCGCGCTACCATTGTCGACATACAGGCGACTTACCCCCACGTTACCTATGATGGCCTCAATAACCATGGCATCGCTGTGGGGGCACACGCCGGGGACGACGTCACTATCAGTGAAGACGATTGCTTCGGTTCCTTTAAACCGCTTGTGACTTGGCTCTTGTGGTGGAGTTTTTACTACTTGTCGAACAGAGGCCTTCAATGCCGTGGTTGAGAAGACTTTGAGATGTGCTCCATAAATTGCTCCGACATTGTGGGTAATCTGCTTAGTGGGATCGAGAGGAGGTATTTCCTGTATTGGTTGTGGTTTGTTATCGAGAGCTGGTTGGACAGGATATTGTGAGTTATCCCTCGGTTGCCAATTATTTCCTCGGTTGTCTCTACGAGGCCCTCGATTATTGTTTCGCCTGGGGAAGTTGCGGGAAGCGCCGGGTTTCTCTCGAGAACTGCGGGTATCTCCTCGAGCGGTACCTTGTGTGCTCTGCACATATTGTTGGAACTTACCGGACTTCACTCCTACTTCAATTTCTCGCTTGAGCTCTCGACAATCCTCCGTGTCATGTCCGTGATCCTTGTGGTACTCGCAATACTGATTCGTGGACCTATTCGGGTTATGAGTTAGTGGCTTCGGGGTTGGAAACTCGTCCTTATGGATCTGGAGTATTTCCCGTCGAGGCTTTATCAATGGAGTCAGTAACCTGTCGAGCCTTGGCAGCGAGGGTTTGTTCTCAGTCTGAGATTTATATCTGTCCTTTCCCCCTCGCTCCCCTGCGAGTG